GGAAGGGGGTGAAGGGAGTAGCATAAAAATTTTTTTCCCTAAAAAATATTTTCTACTCTTTAATCAAACACTAAAAAATATTTTTCGATTTTTTTTCCAGTCACCAACCAAACAAGAAAAAATAAGTGATAAAATCACTCATATTTCATAAAAATATTTTCTAGGAAACATTTTCCTTCATACCAAATACATCCTTAATGGAAAATCATCGATTCCTCAACTGTGCTCATGATACCATGTGTAAGGATTTTCACAATTCTAGATATGATTCATAAACAATCTATATAAAATCCTATAAATAAACTTAGAGTGTGGAACTACATGATTTTCACAAATTGTAAGATATAAGAAAATCAGTCAAGAAAAACATACCAGAATCGGTCATAATGTTCTTGACTTAATCCAGCGGAAGGGAAGAACTTGGTCTTCCATTCTTGAAAAAACTAGTTTTCTTTTCTCTCCCTTTACCTTGTGCATTCTTTTCAGATTAGAATGCGATGGAGTTATGGTATTCTTCTTTTAATAGGCAGAAAAGGGATTATCGGTTAATTTCCACTTCCCATCAGAATAGGTTAGTGGTGAGAACTTCCCTAATTTTATCCAAATACTAATTTAACAAAATATATTCATTAAACCAAATTATTTTGTAAGCCACGTGTGGGCCATATTTTACATAGGTCTGAATCATGTTATAGTGTTTGGTTGTGCAATTAGGATCATATATAATACTTCTTGGATTATGTTAATTGATTTACTTACTCTGTACCAGACTTTTAATTAATTTATCGATATTATTATTAGCATATTATTATTAGAATAATGGTGGATATATTATTAGGATATTCATGGTAGAGATTCGAGTAGGTTGTTAGATTACTGTTGTCAATTACTTTGCCCCTATATGGACGGGTAGAGGTGAGCAAAAAATCAATTTTCTTGAATATTTCAAATGAAATGAAAAAGAGAAGTCCAACGTAATAATTCGAGGAATTGAAAAGATCAAAGCAAGAGTTGAAGATTATAAGCAGCAGTAACAAATAAAGAAAATGGGAGAAACAAGAAATGGTAAACCAGCTACAAATTAAAGTTAATCAGCTCTTTCAGGCACTTTTCTTTACCATCTCATAGACTCAATGCTTGTTTTTCACTCAGTGTATCAATCACTTTTATAATAATTGTAACGTGCAAAAGTAAAAGGTAAAGAAGAAAGTGCGAAAAAGAAACAACAAAAAGAACTTCTCAATTTCATATGTACTTTAATTAATGGAACTTTTGCTGTGTACCTTTCTGCAGATATATATATACGCCGTACAAAATCATAGTGCCAATTGAACTCTACTCTTAATGCAAGTATAACCATGTCTTACGTTTGTCTAATTTACTTAGTAATAACTCAACTAATTCTTGCAACTAGAAAATGGAATCCTCACACTTCACGATCTCATGCACACGTCAAGAATAATGTCTTTTCAGCTTCACAATTGCGATTTTAAGGCAGGTGGAGTATTGTCTGTGATGGTGGCGATGGCACAATTTCTGGTGTCAGTGATGGAGTTGAGTCTTTCTTTCGTGGTGCTGCTGCAACAAGCGCCCTCCTTGCCAACAACCCCATCACTTTTCCGGCCTTCATCCTCTCGTTTGTCTCACCTGATTCACACGAAAGAGTCGTTATTCATATGATCTCCTCTTATAAATAGACTAAAGAGAATAGAATTGACTTCTTTTTCGCTTTGCTAAAGGAATGACAATGAAATTAAAAAAAAATCCTTACTGGTGTGTCTGGTGACGAAAAATTCGCCATTTGCTCTGGCAGAAGCAGACAATCGGACAAGGATAGGGGTTACGACTGTAAGGACAGCCCATAAGAACAATATCAAGAGCAAGGTTCTCCCACTCATTTGTTGGAGAGATGATCGATGAACTAATGTTTCCTCCAAGGATTTATGTTGTAGGAAATATACAATGTTGTTGGGGTGCTCCAACAAGACCTTTTAATTAGCTGGCCATGTTTCAGGAACCAGTCACTATGATGATATTAAAGAATTCAAGACAACTAGTACTTCGCTCAATTGGACATATATTATATGTTTAAATACTTTCCCATGTCTAAGCAAAAGTCAGATACTTTTGATAATGACATTGTGATTTTGGTTGTTAAGTTGTTACGCCAATTGAGTGTATATGATTAAGAATCCACCTGTCATATCCTCCTATAATATGTCAAGCTTAGCCTATGCAGGATGATAGTGGCTTGATCAGTTTTTTTTTTTTTTTTTTTTTTTTTTTTTTTTTTTTTTAATAAATCACAACTCAACCATCATGACTTTGACATTACAATTAACAGTACCTAAATAATATACGGATATTTAAATTGTTTAATTGTATTTCCTTTTTTAAAAATAGAATGGACGTAAATAGAGTTGCAAGGATTAGGAGGATTCATATGGTTAAGCTTCAACTCATTTGAGAGTGATATGGTTGATTCATTTTCTTTTCAGAAGGAAATTGTGCAAGATAAAACTAACATGCGATACAATTGACTAAAGAGTTCAATTCAATTGTTAAGACACACTCTGTCCTAATCACTAGACTGAGAGTTCTAGCTACATAAATAAAAAATAAATGCCTACACTATCAACTCCTACTTTAAGCTCCAATTTTTGGTAAAATAATGGCAAAGATATTGGTCTACCTACGTCGACCCACCCAATCCCACCCCCCCTCAACAACCCCCAATAAAGCCTTTACAATATAAAGGATTCTGTTAGAATTGAGAAACACTTTCTGTTCTAGAATAACCTTTTTTCTTGACCACCCCACCTTAAAAATTAAATTTTAAATTAAAAAAAAAAAAATCACTTCCTAGTTTCCACATGAAATGCACCTAATAATAAAAGATGTCCATGCCAAAGCGACCAAGAAATCAGGCATTTGACAACTTAAAAAACCGGAGATAGAGCTATATATTGAACTTGGGTAGGTAAGAAAATTAAACAGAAGACGCAGGAAACATGAACCAAACAATATTTCAAATGAGATGCTAACGACTTTTCTAAATACAATAACCCCCATTAGTTTTGAATGCTCTTGAACTGTTATATTTAATCGTGTAGTATCATTTTTTATGCTGGTGCAGGTGTGGCATGAACAGTGCATCAAGGGGGCTGCTCATTCGAGAAGGGCATAATTGCTCAACTAATTTTAGATTTGCATAATACATGCAACTAAGGTGTTACATTTTAGAGGTCGTTTGGTAGCTGGTTAGAAGAAAGGTTATTCATGTATAAGGGGTAACATAACTTATACCATGTTTGGTAGGCAATCGTTATTTTGTATAAAATTCTGCATAACTAATACCATGTTTGGTTGACATTTTTCAATTATGTATAAATAATACATGTATAAGTTATGAGTCAATCTGTGTATTATTTTATGCAGGGTAGAAGATGGAGTAACTAATACATGTATTAGTAATACATGGATAAAATACTGAAATGACAAATTTACCCCTATCACTTTACACATAAGGCTTCCTTATTTCTCTGCCAACCCGTCAACAGGTTTCACTTGCTTTCACTTGCCAACTATATACCTTGTCTTCTCTCATTTTTAAAGAACAAACTAGCAAATGCAAACTGGAGAAGCCACTAGAAAATGGAAATACCAAAACTAAGAAGTGAAAATCAAATATGTCTAAACTTCACATAGTTCAGTAGTATGACGAAGAAGTGAAAGTAACACCCAAAGTTCCTAACTAAATTGTTTCCTACATAAATGGAAAGAGAGAAAAAACAATGCAAAAGAAGGCCAGGGGTATAGTTGTAAACAAGCATTTTACTTTAAAATTTATATAATGTATATCAATTTCTAATACAACTAACCAAACATTCAAAAAAATAATCTCTGCATAACTAATACCTGCATAACTAATCCCTGCATTACTTATCCCTGCATAACTAATCCCTGCATAACTAATACATGTATAACTAATACCTGCATAACTCTAACCGGCAACCAAACGACACCTTAAGGTATAGCGAACTGAATTGCTACTAAATTATTCTCAGTGAGTCTACCTGTAAGATTTGAAGCAGGACTTCAACCATGCATAAAAGTAACACGGGACAAATCCTATCTACAATTCTATAATGACGCAACACATACTGCAAAATTATCTAGGATAACACACCATAATAAACACCAGATGTAACACTATTGGGTAGTTAATTCTAACAATTAATTCTTGTCTTTGTCATGCACATGCACCTGATCCAGAAAGTAAGATTGGAGATCAATTAACGAAAGATAACGGAGCATCATAAGTCCTAGACCTGGAGCAACTGTCATTCTGTCAAGGAACACAACATCACCTAATATCAGCCATGCTCCTGATTTTAGTAGTTTTATATTTAGACATAGTGGTGCAGTAGCTCGATAGGTGCAATGGTGATAATAAAACAGTTCCGTATCGTCCCAAATACCTAAATCCTTGTAAGAAATCAAAAGGAAACCCAAAAAAGAGTTCATGGTAACTCTCTACACTTGCTTTTACATCTGCAGGAAGCAAATCAACATATTTCGCAACATTTACATATGCATGGGATACATGTTCAAGAAGAAGAATATTTACACAAGTTTCTCAAAACCAAGGAGGGGACATTCACTACCCTTGACAAGATATCAAAAATCACTCCTGACATTAGTTCCCCGTGAAGCTACTACTGCCTCAATCAAATTTATTCCCAGTATGCTTCTGCGGAATCCAGGAGGATTAATTTATTAAACAGAAAACTTGAAAATTATTAGACATTTGTCATAAGCTAAAGATAAAAACAATGAGATAACAAATAGAAACAGCAAAGAGTACTATCACAAAAAATTCCATTCAAGTGAAAAGCTCTTTACCTTTTTCCCAATGTTGAATGGATCATATTTGTATCTAATCATGTGTGTGATCTGGCGCTTCATCGTGAGGACAAAGAGAAAAATCCAGTAACATAACAATATTGGCCAGAATACTGGGACATCAAATATAGAGCAGAAGGTCATCAGGAAGGCTACAATGAAAGCTTTTGTTGTTGCATACCTGAAACCACATGAAAATATGAAAGGAAATTTCCATTAGGGAAAGGATTGTGATGAATAGCAAGAGGATGAAGAACTCCGCACGTGCAGCTAATATAACATTTAGGTCAGTTAACACGTGTTAATCCGTCATCCTTCCCCATTTTAAATAGGAATCATCAATGCCTACCCTGTGTTACGCTGCCTCTTGATTAGATACAGTGACTAGACTAGTACTTATATCATACTAACTAGCGAAGGACAATATTTGTCATGTTTTTGGAATAATAGCCTGTGTTGAGGTGGATGTGCGGGCACACTAGGATAGACAAGATTAGGAATGAAGATATTCGGAGGAAGGTGGGCGTCGCCCCTGTGGATGACAAGATGTGGGAAGCGAGGCTCAGATGGTTCGGGCACGTGCAGAGGAGAAGCCTCGATGCACCGGTGAGGAGGTGTGAGAGGTTAGCCGTGGTGGGCAGTGGCGGAGGCAGGATCTCCACGAAGGGGGTTCAAAATTTTTTTTTTTGTAGCTAGTGGGAATTGAACCCATGACCTTATGTAGATTTTGAACACCGACCTTATGTAGATTTTGAACACCCTTTACCACTAAACTACACTTTTGGATTGTGTTAAGGGTGTTCAAAACTTAATATATAGAGGTAAAAAACAGATTTTGCCTTATATATACAGTGTAATTTTTCGACGAAGGGTGTTCAGGTGAACACCCTTGCGCCCCCCTAAATCCGCCCCTGGTGGTGGGTACGGGAAGAGGTAGAGGGAGACCTAAGAAGTATTGGGGAGAGGTGATCAGGCAGGACATGGCACGACTGCACATTTCCGAGGACATGGCCCTTGATAGGAAGGCCTGGAGGTCACGCATTAGGGTTATAGGATAGGGGTAGTAAAGCTTTCCTTACTTCATTCCGGGGGTGAGGCGGGGTTGGATTAGGGTTGGTCTTAGATGACTTGCAGTTTATGTTGGACCCACACTATTCTTGTTGTTTGTCTTAGCCCCGGGCCTTAGATTATGGTTACTGTTATTGCATGTCATTCATCTTTCGGTTTTTATGTTTCTGTTATTATTACGATTTCCACTGGAGTTACTAATGATTTCTCTCCTCTTGTTTTTTCTTACTTTATTTTTTCTTTCTGAGCCGAGGGTCTATCGGAAACAGCCTCACTACCCCCATCGGGGCAGAGGTAAGGTCTGCGTACACATTACCCCTCCCAGACCCCACTATGTGGGACTTTACTGGGTAGCTATTGTTGTTGTTGTAGCCTGCTCAGCAAATAGCTAATCCATGACAATTACTATGCACAAAAGAACAACTTTATTGCACGACGATGCATATTCACAGAACAACTTTATTGCACGACGATGCATATTCACAACATGGACAAATGGAATCGCGAAAAGTTATTCGCCACAAACTTCAATAATGGAGTGTAAATCACTGTATCTTTGCTGTCTAAAACAAGAAAAGTTGATCACCACATTACATTGTGCAACTATACCATGAAATGAGTCAAACAGCAATAGTTGAAACAGAGATGCAAAGCCTAAACAAAGTAAATTACAATGAATATGTTATATTTTGAGGTATATGATCTCACCAGAACAAAAATTCAGGCAGCCGACGAACGAAAGGTCTAAATTCATCATTCTCTTTAGGTGGCAAAGAAGCACCTTCCGAAGCTTCCAGCTCAGGATCCACCTTTGGTGACAGAAACCCAATCAACAAATTCAAAATATAGGTTCCTACACCATATGAGATGACGTAGAATCCACGACCATAGTAAACACGCAACATATATATTAATGCAGCTGTCAATGTTCCAAGCCACCTGCGGAAGGTATAAGGAGCAGACCTATCCAAATAGTAGCGAAATGTCCTAGAAACTTCATTTTTCCAGTTTGCTAGTGGTGATAGAACTGCATCACCACCGTCAACTTCAACCCCCTCCATGAAGTCAACTCAGAGGCTTCTACAATGGTACAACCTAAGCATATGAAAGTAGAACCATTACAGAAAGCATAACCAAACAAAAAGATAATTCATCTAATTCCTCTTACATCCTAATAGAATAAAGACTTCAAAAGAAGAAGCACTGACGAACTGGCCTGGTAGTTGCTGCCAAATACTCTAGGCAAAGCTTCTCAGCGTGCCAAACCTATAAGTTAATTGGAAATGAACTTCCATAACAGATACACAGACGCATATACACACATATCACATATATATTGTACTATTACCAGTTAATTGAGGAGGATTGGGTCGTAGTCACTAGGAACTGGGAATAATAACTGAATTTCCCTCATACTCGTTTTAATGAATCAATTCAACAGCGTCTTTGCAGATAGAAACAAGTCACTGAGTGTTTTTTTGCCTCCGCTGGATTTTGAACCTGAAATCTCATGGTTTTCCTCCCACTTTGTTGACCACTAGATGACACCCTTGGGTGCTCATATAGGCAGTATTTCAAAGATCCGCCTCTCTTCTATCTTCACCTCTCCATGAGCCACCCCACCCAAAATTTAAAAAACAAAAAGAGTGAAAAACAGAAATAGCCTTTGTTTGCTAGATTGATTTATGACCAACTAAACTAACATATTAATAGACTATGCAATTCAAGTGCTCAACACTACAACGTGGATAAGAATAAATAAACAGATGTTCAATTAGTTCGGCAACTACCGAATTACGCAGCAATAGCTTAATGAAACGCCAATCAAGAACTAAAGACTGAAAAGGAAGGTTCATATCCATGAATTATTAATTAGAAATAGAGTTACCCTTAATACGAAAGACTGTTAAGATGGAGACTTTTGGAGCAATCACTGATTCAATTGAGGAGTAGAATTGGAAGCAATCCGTGAGAATTACAGATTTGAGCTTAAATTCAGATTTTCTGATCTCCGAGAAAAATTATGAGTTGTGATCGGAATAAGGATCGGAATGTTGAGGGCGTGCAGTTGAAACCGACCTGCGGGAATGGAACCGGACTTTAATAGCGTGTATTTGGGTTTGATTAATTAATTTTAATTTGAGTAACAATTAGTATTAGTTTTTAAAAAGTACTTTTCAAAAAGAGAAATGTCTACTTTTGTCCCTGTGTTATTACCTAATTGCGCTTTTAGTCCTTGTGATATTTAACTCAATATAATTAACCTTCAATTAATCAAAGTGAGTGATATTAGTCCTTTTACGAATGGAATTTTGACGCTACAAACAGAAGTTTTGCTAATATCAAGGGTAATTTGGTATCATCTGTTTCTCCAAAAATGAATTCTCTTACATTCATTAAAGCTTTTACGTGATATGGTCAGAGTTCATTGCATATTCACCTGGTAAAGCAAAATGAAGTGCATTTCTCAGTGAAACTAGAAAAGATCTTAACCCTTTTTCCTTCTACACATCTCTATGTCACGATCCAAAACTTAACCTGTCATGAAAGTGCCTATCATGATACTAGGCAAGCAGACAACTCATACATACCAACACTTTTAAATTTAAAATACACTAAAACAGGTTTAAATAAGTGAAAATCTCGTACAAACTAGATGAAAACGCCACAACTCAATACAGAATATCCCAAAATCCGTGTGTGTCACTGAGTATATGAGTATCTATATAATGACATAGTATGATGCACTGTCTAGAAAGTAGAACTGAATAAATAAAACTGAAAGATAGGGGATGGAGAGTCAAGGTATGCGGACGCCAAGGTAGCTAACTCGATGATCTCCGAAATGATGAAACGCCAGGAATCAACAACCACCGTGCCGGGAAACACCTGGATCTGCACAAGAAGCATAGGGTGTAGCGTGAGTATAACCAACTCAATAAGTAACAAGTCCAACCTTAGGGCTGAAAGCAGTGACGAGCTTCACAGGTACAATCCAATTATAGAGATACAGTACAAGAAATGTAGACATGCTTTCAAGTTTAACAGTTAAAGCTCAAACAGGTAAGATATGTCAAGTACAACTGAAATGAGAAAATGATACATCTCGATATGTATGCCAACTGAAATACAAAACAATGATGAAATCATAAGCATACTCTCGGAGTATCAATCACTTAGTCCTCCCATTCACTTCATCCTCACGGTCGCTCCATCCTCACAGTCACTCAATCATCCTAACCGCTCGGCAGTTGCACTCGCATTCAGTAGGTACCTGCGCTCACGTGGGTGTGCAGACTCCAAAGGGGCGGATCCAGGCCAAGCGCTATAATAAGCCAATCATGGCATGAATCAATAAAGCCTGTTGCAGCGTACAACCCAATCCCATGAATATCCTTACAATCAGGCCCTTGGCCTCACTCAGTCACTAGTCTCTCCAGTCTCTCGGGCTCATAATGTCATGAAAATCAGCCCTAACAATGATGATATGAAATATCAGTAAATGGAAACGGAGACTGAGATATGATATGCGGAAGATAGATGCGACTGAGTACATAATTGTAAATTAAGCAAATAATTTAACAGCAATACGACCTCTGTGGGTCCCAACAGTACCAGCATATAGCCTAAGCATGATTTCTAACATGAATCGTAGATCAATTTCTCTAACACATGGAGAAAATATAGATAACAACAAGGTTATTCAACTATACAGTTCCACGGAATCGACTGGGTCACAATTTCTATTATGCACGCCCACAAGCCCGTCACCTAGCATGTGCGTCACCTCAATCTCGACCACATAACACATAATTTAGGGATGCATACCCTCAGAACCAAGTTTAGAAGTGTCACTTATCTCAGACCGTGCAAATCTCTACTCCAACAAGCTCTTGCCTCGCGAATCGGCCTCCGAATGCCTCGAATCTAGCCACAAACAATTCGATACAATCAACACGAGCTATATGAATCAATTCCATGTGAAAATGTTAAGTTCTAAATAAAAATTCAAAAGGTCAACTCAAAAGTCAACCCCCGGGCCTACGTCTCGAAATTCGATGAAAGTTACAAAATCCGAATACACATTCAACCACGAGTCCAACCATACCAAAATTACTCAAATCCGATACCAAAATCTTGCTCAAATCCACAAAATTCGGCCTAAGAAGTTTTCTCCATTTTCCCCAAATTTTCCACCCTAAATAACTAATTAAATGATGAAATCAAAGATATGTTCATGTAATTTAACTAAAACCAAGTAAGAATCACTTACCCCAATCACTCCCTTGAAAATCTCTCCAAAGGGTCGCCCCAAACCGAGCTCCCAAAATCAAATTGTGAAATAAACTCAAACCCTCATTTTTGAGATTTAATATTCTGCCCAGAAGTCCTTAATCGCGATCGCGGAAAATGCTTCGCGATCGCAAATCACAAATTATGCTACCCACAAGTTAACCCTACGCGAACGCGAAAAACACCATGCGAACGCGATGCACTGACCTTAAGACCTATGCGATCACGAACAACGTCACGTGTTCGCGATGAACAAATGCGCGTGAACCCCCAGCCTTGCCTTTCCCTCTACGCGAACACGACCTCAGCGACACGTTCCCGATTCACAGCCTCACTAACCAACGCGATCGCGGCCCTCAACTCACGACCGCGTAGAACAAAAATCTCAGCTACCCAAATAAGCCTACGCAGTCGCTGACCTTTCCACACGATTGCCTAGAAGGAAACTAGAACACACAGCTCCAATAGGCTTCAGAAATCTTCAAAGTCCCATTTCACTCTGTTAACCATCCGAAATCCACCGATGCCCCTGGGACCTCAAACCAAACATACTAAAAAGTCCTAAAATATTATAAGAACTTAGTCGAGGCCTCAAATCACATCAAACGACATCAAAAACACGAATCACGCATCGATTCAAGCCTAATGAACTTATGCATTTTTAACTTCTACATTCGATGGCGAAACTTATCAAATCAAGTCTGATTGATCTCAAACTTTGCAAACAAGTCATAAATGAAAAAACAGACCTATTCCTACTTTCGGAACCAAAATCCGAGCCCGGTAACCACAAAGTCAACTATCGATCAAACTTCTCAATTTCCAAAACTTCAAATTTTCCAACATTCGCCATTTCAAGCCAAAATAAACTATGGACCTACAAATCACTATCCGGACACACTCCTAAGTCCAAAATCACCGTACGGAGCTATCTGAACCATCAGAATCTAGAGCCATTTACACATATGTTAATATCCGCTCAACATTTTCAACTTAAGCTTCCAACCTTGAGACTAAGTGTCTCAACTCATTCCGAAACATTCCTGGACCCAAACCAACTACCACGGCAAGTCACATAATAAAAATTGAGCATAAAATAAGCAGTAAATGGGGGGAACGGGGCTACAACACTCAAAACGACTGACCGGGTCATTACATCCTCCCCCTCTTAAATAAATGTTTGTCCTCGAACGGGTATAGAAACATACATGGAGTCTCAAATAGGCGTGGATATCCGCTCCGCATCCCCCGCTCGGTCTCCCAAGTAGCCTCCTCAATTGGCTAACCTCTCCCCTGCACCTTCACTGAATCTATGTTCTTCGATCTCGGCTTCTGAACCTGTCGATCCAAAATGGCCACCGGCTCCACATCATAAGTCAAACCACCATCTAACTAAACCATTCTGAAGTCCAAAACATGAGACGGATCTTCGACATACTTCCGAAGCATCGAAACATGAAACACTGGATGAACACTCGACAGACTAGGTGGCAATGCAAGCTTGTAAGCCACCTCTCCATTCCTCTGAAGCACCTCAAAAGGCCCAATATACCAAGGGCTCAACTTGCCCTTCTTCCCGAACCTCATAACACCCTTCATGGGTGAATCTCTGAGCTGTACATTCTCCCCCTACCATGTAAGCAGCATCACGAACCTTCCGATCAGCGTAACTCTTCTTTTAGACTGCATCGTGTGAAGCCGATCCTGAATCAACTTAACCTTGTCCAAAGCATTCTGAACTAAGTCAGTACCCAATAGCCTAGCCTTACCTGGCTCAAACCATCCCACCGCAGACCGACACCGTCTTCCATACAAAGCCTCATATGGAGCCATCTGAATGCTCCATTAGTAGTTGTTGTTGTAGGCAAACTCTGCAAGTAGCAGAAACTGATCCCATGAACCCCCGAAATCTATGACACAAGCGCATAGCATATCCTCTAATATCTGAATAGTGTGCTCGAACTGTCCGTCTGTCTGAGGGTGAAATGTTGTATTCAAGTCAACTTGTGTGCCCAACTCTCGCTGCACTACGATGTAAACTGCGTGCCCCGATCAGAAATGATGGACACTAGCACACCGTGAAGGCGAACAATATCGCGAATGTAGATCTCAGCCAACCGCTCCAAAGAATAAGTAGTCCCAACTGGAATGAAATGCGTGGACTTGGTCAACCGATCCATAATCACCCAAATAGCATCAAACTTCCTCGAAGTCCATTAGAGCCCAACTACAAAATCCATGGTGATACGCTCCCATTTCCGCTCTTGAATCTCAAGCCTCTGAAACAATCCGCCCGGTCTCTGATGCTCATACTTCATCTGCTCACAGTTTAGGCACCGAGCTACAAACGCCACCATATCCTTCTTCAACCTCCTCCACCAATAGTCCTGCCTCAAGTCCTAGTACATCTTCGCGGCACCCGGATGAATGGAATACCGTAAATTGTGGGCCTTCTCAAAAATCAACCCACACAGCCCATCTAAATTAGGCACACCAATCCGACTATATGCATCCTCAACACCCCATCATCCCCAATAGTAACCTCTTGGCATCACCGTGCTGAAGTGTGTCCTTAAGGACAAGTAAATAGGGATCATCATACTAGCGCTCTCTAATATGGTCATATAAGGAATACCGAGAAACACACAAGCTAGAAACCGACTGGGCTCCGAAACATCTAATCTCACAAACTAATTGGCCAAGGCATGAGCATCTGACGCAAATGGTCTCTTACCAACAAGAATAAAAGCAAGGCTACGCATACTCACTGCCTTCTTACTCAAAGCATTGGCCACCACATTGGCCTTCTCGGGATGATACAGAATGGTGATATCATA